AGAGTGGTCGGTCCCTTTGGGTGGAAGCAGACTCCGTTAGAGGAAAGCACAAATGTTTGCTTAAAAGATGCTGGCTCTTGGTGGTGGAGGTACTTTGTTGTTTGCATTTTGGTTGGTTCCCCAGTAAGCCCCAGCAGGCTAGCTGAGGGGAGAGCAGCCCTGTCCCTCTCCAGTTCTGCTAATGTTACGTTTTGACATGTGAGTTTTTATTTTCATGTGTTTCTGATCCCAGGCAATACAGTGTTCGGTATCGTGAGAAGGGGGAGTCAGCAAGGTGGGATTACAAGCAGGTGTCCAACCGGCGGGCACTGGTGGAGAATCTGGTGCCAGACACCATGTACGAGTTCGCCGTCCAAATCTTGGAGGGAGAAAAGGAAGGCAAATGGAGCGCATCTGTTTACCAACGGACCCCAGAGGCGGGTGTGTATTCGACAGGTCCTCGGACTAGCACAGGTCTTAGGGTTTGAGCTGTGAAGTAGGGCTGCCTTGAGGGAAAGCCAGAATAAGTGGTTGCCTGGGGCAGCGGAGTGTTGGGAACATGGGAAAAGCCTCAGGACTGCTGCCTGCATCCCTGCAGCAGTGCCCTGGAGAGCATGCCGGGGCTGCACCGGTGGCACGACAAGAACAGGGGGAGATGGTTTGGGTATTTCTGGGGGACGGGTCAGCACTGTGGACCCCTGCAGCGGAGTGTGCCCCTTCCTTTGGGAGGAGCAGCCTGGCTGAGGAGGAGCCTGGCTCCTTCGCTGAGGGCAGCAAATTTAAATCCTGCCTCCATCACAGAGAAGCTGTAGAGCCCCTTTGGTTCAGGGGAGTGGTCTCTAGTCACTGAGTTTTCACTTTGTTCCAGCTCAGCCGCAGTAGCAGTCTTGTGCAGACAGCCCATTCCTAATATTATGGAATAAGGGTTCACAACAGGAATCTGACACAGAGTCGTAATACACAGGCACAGATGGACCTGAGCTGTGTGTGCTTGTCAAATTTATCTCTGAAACGGTTGTATAGGAATTTCTGCTATAAGGAGAAGGAGCAAAAGATGTATGCATGCTGTGTAGGTTGACTTTTCTTACATGCCTTTTCTGCATATGGCTGTGTCACAGCTCCTGCCAGTGCACCTGAAAATTTGGATGTTTGGCCACTGAAGGGGAAACCAACCTCTGTAGCAGCATCCTGGGATGCTCTCCCAGAGAGTGAAGGAAAAGTCAAAGGTAAGTCATCACTGTCGGTTTTTAATCCCTCAAGGAGCTGGTCTTCTCAAAGCCAGATGGCTACTCCACAGCAAGCTGGAACCGCTGACTGTGCCAGGATTTTTTCACTTGTTAATGGCTTATACCAGAGCAAGATTTTCTTGTTTCTAGCCCAGCGTCTCCGCACCACCGCTGGGAAGCCATCATCACCGTGTGCCTGGGATGTCACAGAGCTTCCCAGGGTGTCACACGTGCATGCTTACCTCTTCTTCCATTAATAAACAGGTCGAAGCAAGCTCGAGAAGGAAGTTTCCCAAAGGATTTGTAACACTTAGGTGAAGAAGGAAAAGTTGGGTAGTTGACAAGAAAGTGTGTGGGTTTATGTTTGTTTTAATTCTAGCTTATCACGGAAGGAAAGCCTCAGCTTAAGAAGCAAGTGCAAACAGTGGTTTCAACAGTTATCACGCATAAGCCTCGTGTGCTATAGCGTTATTGTACATGGTCATAAAGCTGATTTGTCAGTGACTATTTAATTGCATAGAGTTTAATAAAAAAGCTTTCTGGGATTTTTTTTTTTCCTTTTTCCCTCTGAAAATGAACAGGCTGATTTTTTGGCTGCTCCCATTCTCCAGTGGTTGATGGGATTGTGTTCTTGAGTTACATAAGTTTATAGGGATGCCTTATCAGCACTGTAGCATCTCAGGATTTAAAAAACCTTTGGCCTGGAGGGAAGTGTACCAAGCCTGCATACAAGACCTACTTTGTGTGTTCTTCAGGGCAGTGGTGGAATTCCTTCCTCTTTGAAGTCCATAGGAGTCTTGCCAATTGCTTCAATGGAGCTGCAATTGTGTCCAAGAATTATTATTTCTTAAAGTAGGGACATGCAAGGACATTATCTGAAATTTCAAATCTGCTCCTAATTTTGAGCCCTTTGTCCATTTTTGTCTGCTGATCATTAGATGTTTCATCCAAGGCAATCATTTTAAAGATACCTGATATTCAAGGGCTGAATGCTTATACGTGTCTAATATATCATTGTTTTTCGTGAGTATGAAGTATTACAGGAGAGGTCTTATTTTTAAACCAAATAAATGACAAAAATTGTGTTTATGCTGGCTAAATGAAATCACTGAATTAGCACTTCATAGTTGTTTTGATAGCACATGTTAATTAGGAAGTTTTGTCCTTTGGTCCTTTTGTTTTTCAACCCTGTCTTTTTATATATTTATACCACATATTAAAGTAATGGGAGAAAATTCCCTCTGGTAGCTATTTGAGAGTTACAAGAAGTTACACAAGTGCCTCTGCAATTAAAGCAACCCTTGTGTATCTTAAATCAAAGAAACAAAAAATCCAGAGCTTACCATGCCTTCTAATACATTGGGGTTTTTTTCAAACGAGCATTAAATACATTTGCAAATAAAATATTGATGATTTTTTTTCTTGCTTTTGATGACCTCTGCATGGCTTATTTCTTAACACAATGAATATGGGCTTATTTTCAGAAAAAAAATGTTTCCTGTTTTTAAATGTGTTGTTATGTTCTAGAGTTTTCCCATCATGGCACTGTGACTCGTCAAGTATTATTGTGTTTCTTTGTGTAGAGGGAGAAAACTGGTAGCCCTTGGAGTTTATTTTCAAAACCCTGTTTTGATCCGATACCCATGCCTCTTACAGAGGACTGAAAAGGAGGTCTGTGCATGGCCGAGATCTTACTGCACTCCTTGGGAGTGTAATGGGAAGACTCCTCTTCATGCCTACAATTATTCCTATGGGAGTGAAATTTCTCTCAATACAGGGAGCTAATACAGAGCACAGGTACCACAGTAATTCTAAACTGAAAGGTGAGATCAGGGTGAGTTTCTTAAGTGCAACAAGACCTTGCTTTGCTCTCTCTGCAGTGGTGTTTGGCCCTGGCTGTAGTTAAGCACAGCATGTAAGATTTTGGTTTTGTTGGACAGGCATGCTATTGCTACCATTTGGCAATATGCAGTGCTGTTATTTCCTGGTAGAAGTATCTTTTCTGAATAAGAACCTCAATTGTCGAGGCATGAATTTTACCTACTGGCCTGCAGATTACAGCTAGAACCCCTCTAAGCAACGACTCATCTGGAAACACTTATAGTTGACTGCAGTAGTATTGTTTCCAAGGTTAAAGTCCATGCTTTAGTGTTTTCGTGGGGATGCCCCTCAGGCTCCAGCACTGCTGAGGAATGAGTATATGGCCTTTGGAGCTGGTAGAGTTTCGCCACAGTGAACTGGCAGAGCTACTTTTGCCTGACTAGGGCCTTAAAGTACAGTGCAATTATAGCTTTGTCAAGGCTCTGTTGGAAATGTAGGATAAGAAAGTAATGAATTGTAATGAATAATGCCACTGATTTTAATACTGATGTCTTGAACGATAGTTTTGTGAACACACCATTTTGTTCTTTCAAATAGTTTATTGATTAAATTAAATTTTAAAAATTAAATTTTTTAACATTCTTATTTGCTGTGGACATAGCTACAGTCAGCAAAGCAATTGTCTGTTGTCCACCATTGTAAGCAAGTTATGTTTTGGAAGAATATTCTCTGGATCATGTGTTGTTCATTGCAAATAGCTTGGTAGCTAATCAGTAAGTTCAAAATTTCTTTTTCTCTTGGGAAGTCTAAAATCTGCTCATGGTTTGTCAGCTGTAACGGCACTGGCATTCTGATCATAGCGATCCACACTACCTAACATTTGCACAGTCTTTCAGACTAGATTTCCATAAGTAGTACGACTGTGTATTTTCCTGGCAATGTTCATGTGTTTTCTGCCCCCAGTGCATTTTGTCTTTGTAGGTTTCCTTTTCTGATCTAGGTCAGTTCATTTTTTCAGAGGACTCGTTTTTTTCCCTTTATTAGTTGATGTCCAGAAACAAAAAAATATCTGCTGGTACAGCACACCAAACCACGCAGCAGCAGCTGGTGTTGTAACTTTCTCATGTCCCCTACACCTTCTCTGGAAGTGCACACGGCTGTCGTACGGCTCCTCTTGGTGACACTTCACTCTGACGGGCATTGTTGCTTACGTATTGTTACAAAGGTATAGCTAACATATTCTATCTCGGTCATTGGGTCATTGATGTGATTTGGTTTTGTCTGTTAAGATGAACAAGTGTTCAACTTACCTACATATATATGTATGTATCTCTCTCTCATGTCTTTATACTCCAGCTGTTGACTCGGCGTGCATTGCTAGTGTATTAATTTTAGTAATGCACGTTCCAATTCATCCTACCCATACAGTCTGTCCGCTGGAAACAGGACTGTTTTCAGTTTCCTCCTTCCAACCGTCTGCCAAATCATTTCAGAATACATTCTTTCATACGCCCCGGCTCTCAAGCCATTTGGAGCAAAGTCCATCACCTACTCTGGAGCTACAACATCAGCCATAATAGATGGTCTGCAGGCCGGGGAGCGCTATGTTTTCAAAATTCGTGCAGCAAACAGGAGGGGACCAGGTCCTCAATCTAAAGCCTTCAGTGTCGCCATCCCAGCAGGTGAGCACCAAGCCATGCACTGATTGCATAGTCTGCCCGTTCTTGCCTTGGTCCCAGTTATGTTAATTTTTACTGACTTAGCTTCCTCTGCACTCCTTCTAATGCCTGGGATTTTACTTTCTTAATACTGTTTCTGTCAGCTCTTTTCATCACTATATTGTCCAAAGCGAAGCTTGTAGACAAGTGTTTGTCACTCTGCAGCATGTAAAAGGACATTTTATGGACATTTTAACATCTTAAATAAATGCATACCATACTGTATTTCCTGCATGAAAACTCTATGTGCTCTTGCTATCCAAAGGCCAAAGAATACAATGATTTGGGTCTTTGGTTGCACTATTCCTGACAACTCCTGCTCTTGAAAGTTACTGAGTGACTTACTTGGATACTACTCCTTGTGTTTGCTTTTTGCTAAAAAGATGATCTTGTGGGGGCAAGAGATTTGCCAAGTTAAGTAAAAATGTGAGCCACGGCCTCAGATGTGATAACGCAGCACCGTGCCATCAGCGTGACTATGCTCTGCTGAAGATTTGGTTCCACTGATACGAAATTGCAGTCCTTGCTTTTAGATATTTGATTTTAATTGCTGTAAGTTTTACCCAAACTACAATAATTGCACATAGGTACCTTCCTACAAACCAAAACTTACTCAGCGGGACTCCACAGGCTGGTTAATACAGAAATAATTATTGTATCATATTCCTATAAGTTGTTTTGTTCTTGCTACCTGGCTGGGTTCTTTTCTTGATCAGTTTTTTGTGCTTTTCCTGTTGTGAATAAACACCTTTTTTTTTTTTCCCCTAGCTGCTCAAGAGGATTCACTTGCTCAGCAACAAACAAATGTTCAAGATAATTCAAAGGCTAAAAAAACTGGGAATGCTGGCTCATCTCCTTCTCAGACGACTTCTGTTTCTTCGAAAGTCCAGCCATCGCTTTCCTCTAAGCAGTCGTCTGTTCGTTCACCTAATGTTAGTGATAAAAAGAGTCTTCTTTCTGAATATAAGAACAAAATCTTGACTCGAGGGGTCCTAAGTAAATCTCAGTCACCTTCTAGAAGTGCAGGAGATCTGGAACCTGATCTCCAATCCACTGAGGTGACAGACGATCGCGATTCCTCTCAAGAAGCTCCAACGATGCCACAGAAAGCCCAGGATCAGAGGAGGAATGTTAGACCCTTGTCCCCTAGTCGGCCAGTCCACCCTGTCCTTGCCTCAGGGAGGACCTCTGTTCGAACCCACACACCAGAGGTGTCGCAGCAGACAAGCACAGAGAAACATGAGCCACCAGCACTGTTACCATCGTCAGCACAGCACTCTTCTGCCTCGACGGTTCCCAAGTACACAGATAATGAAACAAAGCAACCGAGGCAAAGCAACACTAATGTGCCTTCTATAATCTCTTCCCATCCTCTGCCTGCCAAAAATAATGATCTTGCGGGTAATGTGGAAGGAAAGCCAGACCCCATGCTGGTGAAAGTGTCTTCTAAAACTTCAGAGCCTAGTCATCTGGCTTTGCCATCAAATCGGCAGTCTGCTATCTCTCATGAGGTTGTCCTAAGCCATCCCAGTAGGTCTGGCTCTCTAGGTCATTCACATCAACCCTCATCCAAATCAGCAGATTCCCGTGCTCATGATAGCCATAATGAGTTTGACAGTGAAGAAACAGAGGACAGAGCAGGACAGCCCAGTTCTAGGTCACAGCAAACAAGGCTTCCCTCAGGCTCCAGTTCTCGCACGTGGAAGGATCCAAAATCAGCTGCGGTGGCAGTCTCATCAAGGTCTGCTGTTTCTGGTCACACTTCACCTCACTCTCGCTCCTCCACCAGTGCCAAATCCACTGGGAAGGATGTTGATAAGAATTATAGGGAGGACTCCCAAAAAGCAAACCCCTTCTTTCCTTCTCTACCCTCTTCCAGGCAGTCTTCTTCAGCAATCTATTCCAAGAGAAGAAGTCCTCAGGTCGATTCTGATTCTCACCTCAGAGAGACACACGGTGAAAACTCACCCCATTCTGACTCAGAAGAGCAACAAAGTCGAGTGGCTGCTCCCGAAAAGCATTCTCTTTTGCAGTCTTCTCTTTCCAAACATAAGCCTGAAGAGCAGGACAGTCAAGAGGTAAAAGAATTGCTTGCTCAATCAAAGCCAAGTGTATCTTTGCCTAAAAAGACATTACCCTCTCATGTTCCGTTGGAGAAGGCCTCCCACTCAGAGCCTCCACAGAGGGCACAAACCAGTCCTTCCTTACTACATTCAAGGGGCCGGCGCCTCCCGTCTCATCTCTCATCCCAGAGTAATGAAGAATTTCAGGAAGATGATGATGAGGATGTAACAGAAGGCAGTGACAGGGCAAGCAGCCGCTCTGTGTTTCCAAAAGAGGTGTCCTCTTCTAGGGGATTACCTGCATCTTTCTCTCAGGGAAGCTCAAGTTCAACTCTATCCAAGCAACAGGAGCCAGGTGCTCAGGTACCTTCCTACAAACCAAAACTTACTCAGCCACGGTCCAGTTCTGCCAGTAATACAGCAGAAGACAACCAGTATAATCCAAGGTTGTCATCCACTTCAAGACAAGCTCGTCCTTCATTACCTACTCGCTCAAGGATCGCTACAGGAACAATGTCCGGAACAGAGAAAAAATACAGCCTGTTGCCTTCAAAAATGTCCAAAGCTGAACTTCCTCAAAAAGTTCCTTCCTCCTCTTCATCTAAATCTCATCAGTCAGTTTCTAATGAAGATGACGATTATTACAGTGAATATGATCAGAAAGAAGTGGAAGAGAAACCCACACCTTTGGCAGCAAAATGGTCCCCTTCTGTTTCTAGAGGTAACAAAAACACATACGATGACATTACTACCAATAAAAGGAAATCTATGGAGACTCTTCTACCTCACAAAGCAAGCTCTGAAGAGGAGGAGAAGGAAAAAACTCCAACATTAAAAGTATCGTCTCCTGAATCACCAAGAAGCTCTGCCATAACATCACGGGTTACTCAGTCCTCAAACAAGCATACTCCATCTAAACCAAGCTTTGTCTGGCCACGTTCTTCTGCATCTACCACCACACACACTGTTTCTCCAACAGTTTTTTCTTCCACTTTGTCCCCTCGCCAGCGACTACTGAACTCCAGGCTACGGAGCCCCTCCCAACGGCAATTTGTTAGACCTCCATATAGACAAGGTATCTTGTCTTTGTTGTAGTAATCTCACTGAATTGTGCTTTTCCTAAGATCAGTAGTTAGATGAAAAGTCCTCCATCAGAATGCAGGTTCAGTTGTTTCGTATAATGTATTACTTTTTATTTTGGTGGTTCTCAGGGAGCCCAGTTCTTGTGGACAATGTAATGCGGTGCCCCAGACCTTTGGTCGTGTGGCCTGAGCTGCACAGGATCCTGGAATCTACAGAGGCAATGACAGAGTTAGGTACTAAACTGAAAAAAAGGCTGTCTTTCTTACCGAGCAGTGGCTTCACTGAATGCTCACCGAAAACACATTTGTACTCAGAATATGACAACCTCTCAAGTATATTGCTCTTCATCGTATGGATTACTAAAAGGCTTTTGTAGGTTATATAGTGTTACCTTGCCCACGTCTAGGCAGTAAGGTGCTCCCTCATGCTGTCCTGGTATTCTGTGTTTTCTTTAATGAATTTTTAAGCCACCTGCCTCTTTTTTCTAAGTGACAGCTCAGGGTTGCACAGTCCTGTTGAGGACTGCTCACATCACAGTCAGGCCCTCTGATACCTTTGTGGCTGTGATTTACCCCAAATGTTAGAGGCTTGCTTTCTGGCAGAATATCTGCTGACTGAGTAGTGGAACAGAGGGTCCACTACACATCAAGGTGTGTCACCCACTGCTTCCCTGTGTCATCTGTGGAGAATCCCAGACAGTCTCAGTGACTGCACTAGGCAGAAATATCTTTTCTTCCTCCAATGTATGGACATCCGAAATAGTATTGAGTGACATGAGTGTTTTAGTAAATATGTTCTGTGCTATATGTAGATAAAAATGTTTTATTCAATGCGGCCTCACTCTTTTGCAGTGAGGACCATACAGCTGAGCTACTGTATTTGCTAAGCTTTAATCAGACTCAGAGTTGTGCAGAGGTCCACCAGCTTGCAGAGCTTTAGAATGGGAGTGGACCTTAAACAATACCGTGGATGATGAGATGTGTGGCGTGAAAGATTAACAGATTTCTCTATGGAGTTTATACTTATACCAGCTTACTGCTAGCTATGCAATTGGAAAGTTAATAGCCAAGGCGTGTTCAGTTAATATATGTCTATATTTTCGTATGTATTTTTCTGGAGGCAAGTCTCTGAGCTTGGGTGTGAAAATTGCTGTTCTTTCTGAGAGGGACCCTACAGCTCAGTGCTACTGCTTCTCCACTTCTGAGCTGAGTGTGCCTCTGTGTAGCAGTGCTTTTTCAGCTAAAGGAGAAGAGTCCTTACTTTTACAGGTTAAAAAAAAAAAACCAGGAGGTACTAAATGAGGCCAGATTTAGGTTAGATATTAGCAAGAAATTCCTCACCATGAGGGTGGTGAACCACTGGCAGAGGTTGCCCAGAGAAGCTGTGGCTGCCCCCTCCCTGGCAGTGTTGAAGGCCAGGTTGGATGGGGCTCTGAACAACCTGGTCTAGTGGAAGATGTCCCTGCTCATGGCAGGGAGGTTGGAACTAGATGATCTTTAAGGTCCCTTCCAACCCCTACCATTCTATGATTCCTATCCCCTCTCCTTTCCATTTGTCGCTACAGCTTTGTAAAAGGATAGGACTGAACAATTGGTTGGATTTAATAGTGGTTTCTTCCCTCACCCCACTCCTCAAATATTTTCAAAGATCACAAACATTTTAATAGCTGTAGTGCTGTCTAGAAATGTTGCCCTGCTTTCTTAAAAAAACAAGAAAGAATAAAGAGACCAAATAAACATGGTAGAAACAAACCAAGAGTGTTTAACCTCTTCAGGAGAAACCATTTCAAGTACTTGTGTCAGCTGCAAGGATCTGACAGTGTCACAGCAGTTGCTCCATGCAGAAATTACATGCCTGGTTTGCCAAGTATTGTGAGAGCTCTTCCTGCCCTTGTTTACGTCCAGATTGGTCAGAAAATGCATTTCTTTGCATTTTAAAATGTAGTTTATAGGTTGCATAGCTTTCTTCAGAACAGTGTGTTTTCTTCTCTGTTTCAGGTTACAATGGCAGACCTAATCTTACAACGAAAAATGGAAATGGAAAAATAGCACCTGGTAATAATGGGAAACCAAGTGGACAGAAAGTAATCAATGGCCCTCAAGGAACAAAGTGGGTAGGGTGACCTTCTCTCCAAATTCAAGATGCTTTGGCCTTTTATTGTGCTTATGTTTTCATTAAGAAAAGAAAGAAGAACAGTGCCCTCGAAGCCATAAAGTGAGGTTATACTTAGTGATCTAGTTTCTGCTGTCCCATTGAAATCTAAAGACAAATTCTGCATTTCTTTATTTGAATATTTAAAGGTCTGATTTAAAGCCTGATGGCTTGAATTTTCAACGAGAGCGCTACTCCCGTAAATTTAGTGAAAATTCTGCCCAGGATAGCTGCTGTGAAAGATGTCTTCAGCAATGCTTCTCCCAGACTAACGCTCCAGGGAGAAGCTTGTGAGCAAAAGTATTGAAATGTAAAGTTACTCCATAAGTGTCACAATGGTTTAAACGCGCATATGTAGGTATCTCTAAGCATTTTGCCATTCCTACAAACGTGTTTCCAGTGGTATTTTCAGAGCAGCTCAGATGCCATTGATAGGAAAGTCCCACTAGGTGCCTCCAGGACCAGACCTTGTCTTTGAAAATCCTTTCTGGTGAGTTTATAACCAGCCAACGCAGGGAAGGAACTGATGTTTCCTGTGTGTTTGCCCAAATGCTGAGCGGGAGGAGACAGTGACCAGCCTCCCTGGTGTCAGTAGAACTGCTCACGCACACACAGCATGACACATGAAGGTATTTATTTTATGGCCAGGTCAATCTTACCGTTTGCGTTGGAGGAACATAGAAAGGTGCATCAGGTATGTCGCATTCAAGGGAGGCGTTTTGAAAAGCGTGCACAAAGCCCTTTAAATAGACGCAAGAAAGGTCCTTGGGAGGCCGTAGGGCGTCTCTCTCTACCCCACGAGAGGAGGGCATTGCTGCAAGCAGGACAAACACTTTGTAAAGCTAGAGTTGTTACATCAACATTTGGGGCCTGAAGGGCTTCAGAGACTGATCTCATGATCTGCTGTCCCTCCTGCTACAGTCTTTTCCCCAGCACCAAACGTAAATCTGTCTGACCAGCCTGGAACTGCTGCTCGGTCCTCTCCCCAGTTTCCTCCCAGCGCTTAACACCTTTTGCATTTTTGTGTTCTGTCGCTCAGTGTCTGTTACCTCAAGTTAAAACAGCATACAATTCAGCTATTTTGGGTTGAAAAAGCAATGAGGATTGGATTTCAACTGCATTTACCTCTTGAATTTAATCCAAGCTCTCAGACAGTTTTGTTCTGTAAGACAGAGGCTTTTCTTCAGTCTCCTACCCAATTAAAATCTTAGCTACTTTGTTTTCACTGCCATTTCAATCTAAATTAACTAGCTTAATTTTTCCTTTTTTTTATTATTATTAGACATACTTTTAAATTCTGTCTTCAAAAGGGCTCAGAATGATACTCAAATCAGTATTACAGGAATCTACCTTAGAGTTGCACAGCCCAAGAAAATTAAGGGAGTTGCTTCTTTGCACGCAATAGCTACAGTAGGAGATATGAATATGATTATTGTACAACTCTGGAGACCAGCTCCTGGGGATTTGCTTTCTTCAGCAGTGATTTTTCAGTGATTACTATACAGTTAGTGACTCACTTCTAAAAGTCTCTTGTAGCTATTCCTGAACTTTGGACTTAGCATCCAGATTTTCCCAGGATTTCTGTTTCTGTGAAATTTCATTTCGCCTCCTCTTGTGTTAACTAAACTTGAGTCCATCTATTGCTTTTAGATTGTAGATCTTGACCGAGGGCTAGTGTTAAATGTTGAAGGAAAATACCTCCAAGATTCCCAAGGCAACCCTCTTCGAGTGAAATTAGGAGGGGATGGACGTACAATTGTTGGTAAGTGACAGCTTGCTTCTTACAGAAAAACATCTGCAGCTTTTGTGCACATAGTACAAGTCTTTGAGCTGTTGAATGCTTTAGGCATCCCCAGGTCCCATGCAAGCCATTTGGAATTGCTTGTACCTCAGGTCTCCATCAGGCAGTCAGCACATTGCAGGACCTGGGGAGGCTTTGAAGTATCCTGTGGGACTCCGGATTACGAAGCAGCAAGGATCACCCAAATCCTTCTCACTTGTATCAGCATTAGAAAGGACTGCAGAACTGAGCCAGAATAAGGACTGATGCTTGTTTATATCGTTGTATACTTGTAAAGAAGTGTTACCACCACTAGGACTGTACCAGCCATAGGCATGTGGTTATTTTTTTTCTCTTCTGAAACTGACGACAAATAGTAAAAAACCCTGTGTATGATCTGTGAAAACACTGCTGTTTGCTTATCAGTCCGTATGTATAGATCTCTTGAATGCAAATTCAGTGCTTGCTGTTAAACTGGTTGCCATGTATATTTGCAGTATCCACAATTTGGCACAAAAGTTTGTCTGCAGTGACAGCATTTCACCAGCTCGTCCCAGTTTTTCCTCGCATGTTTGACATTAGGGAGCAGAATATGGATTCATCATACCTTTCATCAACAGTTACAAGGCTGAATTAGATTAAATGAAGGCAGTGTCTGCACATTGTGATTCTGAAGTGAAACCTCCCCGCAGTCTTCTGAAGAAGTATTTATCAAATAGCTGATAAAAGTGAACACCACTGTGGTTTATTGGAAGTTCTTCTGAACCATTTTCCAGCTTACTTAGCGACGGCTCTTTCCTCAGTAGCAACCACCATCTCTGTCAGCTTAGTTACAGGAGGCTGTAATGACACTCTCGGTGTTCTTGTGGTATCCACTGTTGATAAATACCATGCTATAAGCCTGAAAAAGATTAATGGTAAGATTTTTTTTGTTTTGTTCATCTCCCCTAGATGAAAAGGGTGCCCCAATGGTGAGCCCTGATGGATTACCTTTGTTTGGACACGGCAGATTTAGTAAACCTGTAGCAAGTGCACAAGACAAACCAATAATAAGCCTTGGAGGGAAGCCTCTAATTGGTCTTGAAATGATTAAGAGAACAACCACTCCCTCGACAACTACTACAACAATACCCCCAACAACTACTACAACCACTACAACAACTGTTGCTACAACCACCACCACCACTCCTGAACCAACCACCACTGAGCCACCCACTGAGAAACCGCCCCCAACCTGTCCTCCAGGCACCTATGGACAGTATGATGACGAGGGCAACCTGCTGTTGGGGTTCGATGGCCTACCGGAGTGCAGTACAGAAGGTAACTTCCTTTTGTGCTGTTTGAACTTCTTTGGATGTGCTGTTTGTACAGCGCGGTTACACAAATATAATGGGGGAAAGAATATGCCTCTGAAGCTTTTGGTCCGTGTGATAAGGTAGGTGCTGAAATTAGAGCAGCTGAAGAAGGGTTTGGGCGTTAAATGGATTTTCATTGGAAAATGTCAACTTCCCCCAATGCTGAAGTTTTTCATTGAACTATGTTGATTTCAGCAAAATTGTTACCTGGTGTTGGATCCAGTCTTGTCACATACCTTCACATACATGAGTAGGAGTATAGTCAGTAGTCTTCTGGTCAAAACACTCACATATAAGGAAATCCTCACTCCAGGCCATGAAAGGACCTGAAGGCACTATACATTTTGTCTGTTTTGTGTTCATTTCGCTCAATTCTGAAAAGTCTCTCTTTTGAGCCATGTTGGAACCAGCTTTTACAAAATCATGGAGGCAGCTGGGGAAAGACAACCCTGGCTCTGCACAGATAAGGCAGAGAGTTGTACGCTGATTTCTTTCTCATCTGAAAATACAAATCACTGTTGGTACATGTCATAATTTCCCCGTTACAGTTAGACAAGCTTAGGAAGTGGTGCCAAACTGAAATCCAAAGTAAACAAATATAAATGCTCTGGAGTCTTTGGGCGTTGAGCCTGTTACTATCATGTTTTACCCTTTCATCACCCGAATATTGCATGGCAAACCGGGTAGATGCTTATTTTGCGAAGGGAGCACCATGGTAGTCCTTATCCTTTCCATTTGTAGGTAATCCCCAACTCAGTCTACAAATGGGCAGTAGCAGCTTGGCCATACCTAAACAACAGATTGGCAGTCAGACATCTGCCAACTGCAGTAGCCAGTTTTAATGGGCAATGAAACCCCCTTACCTTTCCCTCATACACCTATATCTCTGAAGCCAAAGTAGATTTACAAGTAGGTCATGTAACCGTGGCCTAGGAAGCTGAACTATTGCTTTGAAGAGTGCAGAGATGTGGAAAGACATGGCTTCAGCAGCTCACAGTGAGTCTAAGGATGGCATCTTTGGAAGTTATTTCAGAAGCAGAAGACTGAAAATTCCCTTACCAGCTACCCTGGGTAAGTAATGAGTCAGAGACATTAGCACCTTGGTGGAATTACAATGATTTATGGTGTTAATATTTGTCTAACAATTAGCCCCATGTTTGACAGCGTGTATTTATAGAAGTGTGCTTGCATATGTACACATGCAGGGATGTGTACACACACAGAAGTGTACATAAAAATGACCATCATTGTTAAATATGTCTTTGAAGATTTTTGGTTTTCCCTTTAATGCTTTTCTTGTTCTTAATTTTATTTACAGAAGTGTTATAAATATTGTTATATATGGTCACCCTGGTATTTTCAGAGTTGCCTAAAGGGAACCATGATTTTTGGTAGTGTTAGAGTCCCTCTGACTCCCAGCACTTCCTTTTGCTTATATTCTCTAATGTTTCCTCTCTTTGGCCTCTGCTATTTGATACCTGAAGGACCTCTTCTGAGAATACATATTATAAGAACAGTTAAAGTTCATGAAATGTGGCTGGGGTTAATCTGAGTGTAGGCTCCAGAAGCTGAATAACAAAAAGCTTTGCAGTATTATTTTTAGCAGAGTTGTGGGCTCGGGAATTTTCATGTGATTTTATGAACATTTATAAACATTCTGCTTGGGTTTTTTGCCTTCTACCAAGATGGGCTTGCTGAATCCTTGAACTTTGTTACAGGCATGAATGAAAACTAGTTTTTTACACAGGCTGCGTGTTCAGTGAGAATGGCCCTTAGGTCACTCCTAAACTGTCTGGCATGTCAACAGTATGTCTGCAAATGCGTCACAGTGCAAGGACAAGGTGGTGCTGCATTTCTACTGCTTACCTGCTGTATATTAGTCCCTACCTGGCAATTATGAAAGTTTCTCAGAAGAGTAATTTTTAGAGTTTTCTTGATCTTCTGCTTTGTTCTTTTTCTAGTGACCTGCCTCAACGTTTGACAAATGCAGCAAAACAATCTGCCTATTCCACAGAGGAGCTTGCTTGAAAAGAAAGCATCTTTGTGGTATTTATTTAATGATGGCTGATTTTGAGCAAGAGCAGGGTCTGTTCAAGAGGGATAAACAACTACTACTTGAACTATCAAAACATTTAATGCCATTTTCACTTGACCATTTCCAAATCATATTTTTATATTGTCTTTCCCTTTAATCTGAGTCTGGAAAATACTCCAGATCATTTAATGAAATACATTTTTTGCCAAAGCTTCATATTTGTTGCTAAGTGCTTTACTCATAAGCAGCTGGGGGCTGCAAGCGCCAAAACCCACCGCCAAACATTCTACTTAAGCTTTGGCAAATTTGCTTACTCTCTGGCAGGATTTTTGCTTGACCCAGCAGAATTTATTGTCAGCATTTCACTAGATTCAGCAGTCTTTAAGCTTCAAGAAGGAGTTTGGCCACACAAGCGTGATTTTTCAGTGAAATCCGCTAAACTTTATTCATGAACTCACACGGGAAAAAGAAAAGGTGGAGTCTCAACCACATGTTATGTGTAATAAAATCAAGTGATGGTTGCACAGTCTGCTGTCCTTACAGATGCCAAAACACTATGGCAAGTGGTCGTAGCAAGACTTAGCTTCATTTGGTACAGGCAGGGTTCACTGAAGAGCTGCAGCGAAGGGTGATGGAGCAAGCTGGAGAACTGCAGCTGGTGTATGTCCAGAAAATTACAAAGCGAGAGGTCTTTTGGGAAGTACGCCTATCGTTGCCATGCCACAGCTAATGCTAAAGAAGCACAGACAGTGAAGTAGAAGAGACTGAGCAAGTACAAAAATAGAAAATAAAATTTTTTTTTTGCTGGATTTTACATAGGCCAAAGACTGACTAGCTAATAGGTGTGAATGAGTTGAAATCTGTCCATGAAGGACTTCAAATTTCTGCATATCTGAGCCTCTTGTTTAATTTGATGTAGTCAAAAGTAAGTACATACATACGAGATGATGGCTGATGCTGGCCAAGTGTGGTGAGAATATCTGCAGAATTCAGCAAAGGATCTACTTTGTCACTGACTACCCTAAGAGAAGTCAAGTGAATTCTAAGTGGATGATCTCCTGAAGAGTGACTGCAGAAGTCTACCATGAGAAAATTTCAGATTTTGTTATGTGAAAGTCTGACAAGAATTAACCGTTTTCCTGCGTTTTCAAAGCTTATTTTGGCATTAAAATCATTACTGTGTATTTAAAAGTAACTTATTATAGTAGAAAAAAATCAGTCTTGTACAGTAATTGTTGGTTCTAAATTAAAAAAAACTGAAAAATGAAAATGTGTCATTCAGATTATATTTGTGAACTATTTGACATATACATGGTCTGCAGAGATAGTGAGATAATATGTGGGGATAGGCATCTGGGAAGTCTGTGGGTGCCTTTGCATTAGGTTTTGAGGTGTATCAGGAGAGCATTTTTGATGCGCATCATCTCTTCTTGCTATGCTTTCAGTTTGCATCTTGGAGCAAGTTCAGTGTGCCTAAACTGAATTCCTGTTGGATGAAACTAAAGCAGAAGCAGTGCTTCAGGATGACACATATGTGCCCCAGCCTGTAATGGGCATTCAGTCCACAGGCTGAGAGTAGAGCTAGTGCAAAGTGAAACCCTGGGAAATCCAGCACCAACTACTTCATTCTGCAAATCCATTCCTTTTGCACTGCGTTACTTGCTACCATAGACACAGTCTGTAAATGTTACAGCTCTGTGTATTGCTTGATTTTTATTCCCCCGCAAAAATATTCTAATAGAAGTTTTCAGTTTATTTGAATTGCTTCGTTGGTTTTTTTGCATATAAATGTCTCACATTTGCTGCTCCTGAGACTATAAAACGTTGTCAAACCCTGATCGGAGCATTACACAGTTGCTGGCAGCCTGCCTTTGCTCTAGAGCTGCTGGGGCCTGGGGCAGAGCTCCTGGAAGGTGCATTGTAAGTGTAATGTAAGAGTAATGACTCTTGATTTTGCGTAGCAGCTCTGAAACCATTTTCCCCCAGCAAAACTTTTGACTACTGCAGAGTTAGCTACTCATCTGTTATTCTAAATATGCAGAGCGAACTGTCACTGTGTTATCTGGGAACTAGGCAGTTGTCTTATTTCCTTGCAAATCAATTGGCTACAGACTTTTATTTTAAACTTTATTCCAGAAGTGTTTTACTAGGAGGGTAGGGATGAGGCCATTGAATTCTTATGACATTTTTTTCCTTCTCCTTCAATAGATACATTCTCAGGACTGGATTCAGATGTGACAGCAACTCCAGAGGCATATGTGATATATGATGATGGTACTGTCGCAAGTGGCATGTTTGCAGTTGTTTTTTTCCCTGTCTTTTTCTTTGGAATTGGGTCTGAGGGGGCAGGTTGGTGAATGGGAGCTTAAGCAAGCAGTGGTGAGCTGGAAAAGCTTTCCAGAGTCCTGTGTCACGTGTGAAGAGCAAGGGTGCAAAGGCAACTGTTTCTGGACCTGAAAGTCCCTTTCTGTCAGTCCTGCAATCTAACAGGAACCTATTATGGAAATAAATGGTGTTCAGAGCTGGGTCATACAGTCATCACTTCAATCCTAGATTTACTTTCTCTGGTACAACTTCTAACTCCAGCCCAGTCAAAGTCAATGAACTCTTCTGAAATAGAAAATCCAAATAACATCTGAGCCTTGGAAACTTGAAATACCTTAGTGAGTTTTTAGCACTCTGCAGCACTGTGAATATATTTTTTGTATCTTTTTTTTTATGTGTAGTCTGCATTTACACTCTAAAACATGCTCATACTGAATGAGATCACCTACACAGAAAATAACTAATTTGCTGAATTCAAGTGGAATTTAAATCAAAGAGATTTGAAATCAGATAAAAGGAGAAGAGGGAAAGATTTTTGCAGAGTTATATTCATGCTATCTTGATATTATAAACCAGGACACACAAAACTTAGCTGAAGATGAAGCCTCAAGTTCCAGCATTTAATTATAAGTTTGCATAGGGAATGCAAATTCTCAGTTACTGGAACTAGAATTCACTATCTGCTATCGGTGACTTCTGATGTTCTGCTCCTTTTAGTCCTCAGATTCCTGCTCGTACCCCCTGCATATTAAAGTGGATAAGTACAGACCTCTGTTAACCTCAAAGCTTTTTAGTAGAATTGATGACTCTACAATAATAAAAGTGGTTTTTGTTTGTAGATACAGTGCTGCGATCTTAAGTCAAACCACCACCAACAACAACAGAAAGTCATTTAAAAAGAGAGTGTAGCAGCTGAGAGGAAGATATCATAGACTTTTCTGCTTTTTATTCTGATCACTTCATACTGAGGCCAACATTTAGAATGTGGGGAGGAGAGGATGGACTAAAAACTGCACAAGTCCTACATCCTGTGTTCCTTACATCCCCATGAAAGCAGAATATCCTCAGTGCAGAGGTCTTTTGCCAGGCCTCCCCTTAGGTGCAGGTCACCTGCAGAAAACAAATGCTTCAGCAGTTTAAGCAGAAAACACTCAAAGCCATGAGCCAAGTCCATCAGCCTGTATAAGGACATGGAAGGGATGCCAAATGCTTCTTTACCTTCATTTTGTGTGTCAGTCAGATAGCCCAGTAGCTGTTCAAAGATCACTGGATTTGATAGGACTGAGTATCAAGGAGGACTGAATATCAGTAGATTCATGTGGGCCAGTTTGCCTTCCCTCATGGCCCTAATGGGACCATGAATGGCAAGTACAAGTCTCCACACCTCTTAGGTGGCACGGAGGTGTAAGAGCAGAATGAACCAGCTCTAGCATTTTAGAATAATAAGATGAAGTTTTCTTAAACATTTTTTCACTCCCTTATCTCCTTCTTTTAGCATCTGAGGGCTGTAGCCAGGGATTCAATTACTGTGCTGTCTTCTCTTGGGGGTTGTGAGGGGAGGTGGCAGATGAAGTGTGTTCAGGATATTGCTGTATGAATATATTTGTTTATTGTCATCCTTTTTACTTGTGTGTGTGTGGTCTAAATCAGCAACAATGCTAGTGTTCTAAGGCAAAGACTTTGTGCTTGCTGCCCATCAGTTCGGTAGAAACCCTTGCAAAGCTGAGGTGTGACTGACCCTGACTGAGAGGCCCGTATGGAGCATGTGGCAGCTAGGGCAGAGTGCGTGCCACTCCTTTGGGATTGTGTCTGGGGACAGAAATGTTTTCCTTCTCATAGTTAAGCCAAAATAACATGAAGCAAGCTGACTTTTTCATCTTATGTTTCCTCTGAAGACTACGAGTTTTTTGAGAGCACTTTGCCACCAACCACCACCACTGTCACCACCACCACTGCTTCTACAACGACAGAATCAGAAGTCGTCTATCCGGAGACTAGTGTTGTTGGCACAGGCCCTGTGTCAGAATATGATATTGCTGGGAAGAAACGGTTCACTGGTAAGGATGTCCTTTGCTTGATGTACCTTACTACTTGTGCTGCAAAGAGTTCTTGTTCTAGCAAGGTCAGCCCTTAAGCCGAGACCATTGCACAAATGCATTCAACAGATTGGTGTGTGGTGCTTGTAAGGGCTGCCACCTGTGAAACCCGAACAGCAGTACTTTTTCATAGCTTCGATGCTTGCACGTCTGTGTGTGGACCCACACCGATTTTACTGAAGCAATCCCAACCTCTTTGTACTCTTTGAGTATAAGTGCTCTGCTTTGTGTTCAGCATCGTGTTCAGTTTAGCTGAAGTCAGTAAGGGAGAAAGTGTCTACGCTGGTGCTCAGTTCAGCTCAACTGCATCATTTCAAGTTCACACCAGTAGTTCAATCAGTGCAAGTCTCCGCTGGGAGACCTAATTCTTTCCCCTGACCCATGCAACCCCAGTGATTTCACCCACCTTGCACAAGCATGTCTGTCAAAGTTGTGCTTCAAAGTCAAGGAAGGCATGGTATTTTGGATATGAACTTTCCAAAAAGTAAAACTAATAGAGGTAAATTTGACTTTGTATCTTTGCTCCAAAGAAGGAATTTGGTGAAGGAATCCCCAATACATTGACATGAGCCGTGAGGCTGGCTCCTGTGTATGTGAGCCATTCAAGTGTGTAGGTAGGTGTTGCAGCTCTGACTTCAGAGCTGCTCTGCCTCTTTGTCAGAGAAGCAGCTGGGGGCCAGACCAGAGGGATTTGGAGGTGGTAGGGCGCTGCATTCCAGCCTCCACCCCAGACTGGTGACCCCTCCCTGCAGCCCTTTACAAGCCTCTGGCATTTGAACTGAGGTCAGGTCAGCTGGTGGCTCAGAAGGGAGTTCAGGGGATGGAGAGTCAGCTTTGACTCAGGTCTTGCCTTCCCTTCCAATATCCACAATCTTCACGTGGCTTAGAGTGGAGCTCTGCTGCTGGATAAAAGATTTGTTTTTAAGTATGCCAAGACTTTTTCCAGTGCATCTTTAGTTTCTCTGTCCAAACAATTTCATGATGTTTCTATTTGGCTCTCTCACTGACACAATGCTTCTTGATCATTTAGCTAGAGAGGCTAAAATTAACTTCATTGCAAGATCTGGAAAAAAATCCCTTTAGGGCATGCAATCCAATAAGATAAACCAAGAAGTGTTGGTTTATGAACGTTTCGAGGCGCTAAGGAAATAATATTACCATTTCAATGAACTGTATGATTGCAACTGAGTAAATATTTCCAAAGCAAGTTTTACAGTCCATCCTTTGAATGTTACAGTGACTTTTAAGGTAATAAAAAGGTGGTTTAATCTTTTCCTGAACTGAAGTGCAATTCCAGTCAGTATAAAGCTTTTAAAAATAGAAGTTACAGGTTGGGAGCACATGCCAGGAATGTGGGGGCTTATGACTCCTAGTCCCTTAGTACCCAGGGAACCACAGTGATAATCCCTTCGTTTAACCTGGTCAGATTTCACCTTGGAATTACACTTCTTGTTCCTTCTGTTGTTTCACTCCATCTTCAGGATGTTTGTGAAAGAAGTAACCACTTAGACCCGTAAAGTCGTAGACAATCTATGACCCTGGCAGGGATCTGTTCCCACGCTTGGAAAAAGGCAGAGAAGTTTGGGTGACACTTTCACCCCGCCTTCCAGAGCAGTTGGAGGTAGCATGCGGAGGGGCCTGCACTCAGACCACTCTCTTCTGCCTCTCGTAGCAAAGACAGTCCTTCTGTCTTTGCGTAGTTGGGTACAGCTGTGAGTCTGGGGTAGACCTGAATATTGGCATCCCATTCCTCCTGCTTCTCAGTCAAACTGAGCGTTGGCAGCAGTGAACTGTCTCCGGACTGGAAGGGTAGGAATTTTAAAATGCGTCACAAAACTTCACTCCCTTCTTTTCAGGAACTTGCCAGCCTGTGTGCTACTCTGTGGTACCTACAAACTGCTAACTAAGCATCACCCTTCTGTGTGTCTTCCAGCTCCTTATGTGACCTATCTCAATAAAGATCCAGCAGCCCCCTGCTCCTTGACAGAGGCCCTGGAGCACTTCCAAGTGGAGAGCCTCGATGAAATCATCCCCAATGACCTCAGAGAGAAAGATCTGCGTCCCCTGAAAGCCCCTCACAACATCACTGTTGTGGCAGTTGAAGGCTGTCACTCCTTTGTCATCGTGGACTGGGCTAAACCTGCTCAAGGAGACATGGTAACAGGTATTCTCCTGAGGGCTGCTGTCCTGGTGGGGTAGTGGGGAAGGGGAAGGTTTTCTCAGCTGACCATTTTTACCTTAAACTGAGCCAATGGCTCATGAATTTCTCACTCCTCTGCAGTTTTCTGAGGGAGGTGAGCTCCTTTCTGAGGAGTAAGAAAGGTCCCTCTGTCATCCTTCAGTGCCAGACCAACCAGCCCATGTTGGTCCAGATATCTCAAGATTTTGGTGCTGAGTTTGTGCCAGTGGTTCTGAAGGCAATACTTCTCACCTGAATGGTAGCTGTGATAGTGCTTTGCTCAACTGAGCACTTCTACCCCCAGGCAGCACCCTCCGCTCCACCGTAGGCACCTCCCACGCCTGCCTTTGGAGCATCTTTCATATTTGGCTTCAGTCCACTCGGAGCAAAGGTGACCGGAGCCATTCTGGGTCCTGCCTGACTGTGAGTGTGGCTACAGGAGCGGTCTGCCTGTAGAGGGGCTTCTGGCTTGGCAGTCTTCTAGTCTGCTTTTTTTGTAGGAAAATAATGTATCGGAGTTGCTTATCTCCAGTCGAGTCTGTGGCCAAGGCCATGCTTACCTTGTTTTACTGAAATTTTGGTCAAATATCAGTCTGACAAGCAAGGTTCAGGGATGAGGAATACGTTAAACAAATATATTAAAATAGATCTCCTTTAATGTCTTTAGATCTTTTGGGATCCAGAAAGAAGCCCACTGACTTCAAGAAAGAATCTCAAAAGTTGCTAGAAAAACACTAGAGTAAATAACCAAAACATTTTAGAAATTAATCAGCCTCTGTTTGTCAGTGGACCCAAAAGATCTGAAGTAAACTTTGGAAAAGGTCACTGCTTTGGTGCCAGCTTCCAGTTTTCAAGGAGCCTCACCCAGCTCTACGGCTGGGAGCCCTGGCAGCAAGGGGCCCTCACCGAGCCCTACGGGTGGCAGCCATGGCAGAGGGCTGGGAGCTGATAGAGCCGAAGCAGCGATAATGGTTGGGAAGGGCGAAGGTGGAACTTGAACAGGCTGTGCGCTATCTGTCCCACGGCATCTCATTCTTCAAGGCTGTTGATCCAGTACCTTACCAAGCGCAGTTTGCATAACTTTTTTTTTTTCTCAAAAATCCCTGGCATTTCCAATTATACTAGTTTCTACACAGTCAGTGTATCACTTAAAACAATGAATGGGTTGCCTCTGTCATCTTTTTCCCTTCACTGTGTTTTAAAACAGAATTTGCACCTGGGTACCATCCTCTGATGTAATGCTCCATCATTATTAGCTAACGACAGCCTAGGATTTTCCAGGAGAGTTAGGCATCAAATCACTTTCATATTTGAAGATGCTTCCACTCCTTTTAATCCATAAAATCTACCATGATGCCTAGGGATATCCTTTATTTAAAATTTATTTAGAATCCTCACAGCTATGTGCCTTTCCCATTACAGGCTATCTGGTTTACAGTGCATCCTATGATGACTTTTTAAGGAATAAGTGGTCAACCAGGACTGCAGGGACTACTCATTTGCCAATTGAGAACCTGAAGCCCAACACACGGTAAAGATTTGATCTACTCTTTTTCAGTTCTGTTAGGGAAGTAAAACAAATTTTGAGAATTGTCAATCATTTTTCTTGGCCTTACTATACATGTTTACATCTGATCTAGATTTTACTCATTCTGTTTGACAGCAAGTTGTTTTATAAACTGCACAGCTACTTACATGATGTCTTTGCCATATTAACCCTGGAGCAGATGACTGTGTGTACATGCATATATGTTTGTGTATATAAAAACACATATCAGTAACAGAGAAAATCTTGTTTTAAAAATGCATTTCTTCTGCATAACTGAATCAAATTTTGGGGGTAAGAGTAGACTAAAGTATACCCTTGCTGTGATATGATGAAGCCATTCCCACATACTGGTGTAGCCAAGATTTGATACCTAAGGGCTGGTGGGGAGAGGTGCCACTCTCTGGTCTGTTTTTGCTGTCTGTTCACATGAGTTGTGCTGGAAGAGAAGGCTTGGTGGTATATAATGAGGCCGTGGCAGTTGCTCAGAAGTCAGTGCTGGCAGGAGCTTTAGGTCTTTATCTTGCAAAAAGTCTCACTGAAATGGCAGAGCAAGAATGCATGCTGTGCATGATATTGGAATAATTCATGGCAGTTGGATGGGAATAAATGGCTGCAAAACAGCTACATTAAGGTTACTTCTTTCGACAGACACTCAGCATCTCTCATACTTGAGTCTGAAATACTTTTGGTGCTGCCTTGGTCTAGGTGATGGCTCTCCACATGCTGATGACTGCAGTCTCTTAGACACTGGTGGCAGGTGTTGCTCATGTGTTTGGTAATGTGGGAGATGCGCTGGGTTTGTGGGCTTGGACTAGCATGCCTCACTTGATGACGAGCTACAGATCAGAGCACCCACTCCTAGGACAAGCACATAGGGTTTGTGCCAGGGCAACACAGAAGAGAGAAACAGTGTCACCTAAAGTATCTTTTCTTTTCAAGACGGTTTATAGATGAAAGGAAGATTCTGCAGTTGATTGAGAACCTCAACCTAGAAAGCAGAGAATTGTTTGAGTGCAGCCTTTGTCTAAAATCTTAATAGATTAAATAATAAAATAAAATGAATGAATTATGAAAAGTCAGTGCAGTGTAGCATTTGGGTCTCAAGTTTGACCAGGCATATTTTTTCTGACGGCATTACAGCGCTTCCCCGCACAGCCCTGACTTTAACATAGACTCACACATGCCTTACCCCTGCAGCTGCTCCTGCTGGCCCTGAAACATCCAAGCACCAAGAAATCACAGTATGTGTTAAGAAGGAGGTGCTGCTCCCCTGTCTTTTCCCTGGATATTTCGCTCCAACCAAAGAGTTCTGAGGACATGGCATCTTTTTCGGAGAGCCAGGACCAGAGCAACTTCAGCCGCAGTTTCTTAGGCAGATGCACACCCACCAGAGAACAGCTGCAGCATCAAAGTCCCAGGAAATTAGCAAGCAAAAGGTGTATGGACAGGCAGGATAAGCACACACGCAGGACACCCAAAGAGTTAAAAAAACAGGAACAAAATGTTCCAGGAAAAACTTAGTGCCATCTTACCCGCTCCTGTTCTGTCTATGGTACTGTCAGTCATACACTTCATGAAGCTTTTTTTTTTTACATATCCAAGAGAGAAAAAACCACAACCTATTCTGAAGATTAATAATCTAGACCTCAGTGCAAGTCCTTTAGAGTGGTTCATCGTGCATTAAAGCAATATTACTTGCACAGTAGAGAGCTGCAATTGTATGGTCTACATCTGCTAGTGCCTTTGTTATAAAACATCATTGTTACAAATGTATGGAGGGAGATATGGGGCACAGTTTATCTGTGGGTTTCACCTGTTATAACAAGATGGAAGAAGACTGAGATCTCCTACGCTCTGTTCCTAGATAGTGAAGGAAGTGAGTGCAGACCCTCCTGCCTGTTTGTACATCCACATCCTTGTGACTGGAGGACACCCTCTCCCTAAACCCCTCTCCTCCTGACATTAGTCCGAGTTCCTGCCTCCACGTCCCAGACTCCTGTACACCCACGGCGCTTTTCCTCTTCACCAGTTTTCGCTCCTCTGCTCTCACCCTGTCCCTCATGAAGGCCAGGGAGGCATTGCATGTATGCCCCAGCTTACCCCAGGCGGGCTCCTCCATCTCTTGCTTTTCTGCCATTTCCACCTTCCAGCCACAGCTCCTCACTTCTTCACTGTCTTTCAGTCAAGTCTCCCTCTCCTGCTGCTCCAAGGAGAGTTTTGAAGGCCAGCAATAGCTCTCTGCTGCTTGTGCCCAACATCTCAAGGGCTTCATGTCACCAGAAAGAGTGGTTGCAGTGAAAGCCCCCAGGAGCCCTGCAGCCACTGTCCTGGCCACGCTCCGTGCAGAGGAATTGGTGGGAATTGAGCTGCCAACCTGTGATACATCTGCTGAGACATACGTTAACTCCAGGCTTCAAAAGGTCACAATTTGGCTGTGTTTGAATGGAGTTTTATAGGAAGAGCGAGGTTCATGCATCTCCATGAACCTAGTAACTCTCATGTCGAATATTAAGGTTCCGTTTCAAAGTAGGAAGGTTCAAGCAGGTGCTGTTTGTTTTAAGCATATTTTTTCCCCAGCATCTTACTGAAGAGTGGTATAATCCACTGGCCTCTGTTGTGCGCTTTGTGGAGGCAATAAAGGCTTCACGTGGGGTCTGTGGTGGAGAAAGGAAGGTTCTTTACAACAGAGAAATTGTGTGTATCAGCCAATCTAATTTACATTCTCCAAATCCACAGACTGAATTGAATGCATGGTTTTTGTCTTAAAAATAACTCCCTAACCACTGGGAAAAGACCCCATGGCTAACTAAGAAAATGTGGTGTGAAATCTGAAGTTACTCTGAAAATTTTGCATTCGCATTGTTAGTGCATTTTGCAAGAAATCTCTGATTGAGTCGGATTTACTCTATGCAGATGCTTTTGACTGCTAGGTGTCCCATGAGGGGCTTTCAGTGGTGCAATCTTGTGGCATTCACAGCGTATCAGAAATGCGTTGGCATCTTGGCAGAAGTCAGCCCCATAGAAGATTTGAAGCTGTCAATGTACCTTTGAAAATGTCTGCCAGGTGTTTAGGTTTTACAAACAAAATGGAAGTCTATGTTTAACCCATGTCAGGAGTTTTCTTCCAAGGCCTAGTCTAACCTCCATTTGAGAAGTGGAAGTTTTTCCATTAGTAGAACTCTGGCCAGCTTCAGTGGGCACAGGAGCTGCTTCCTTGTGACAAGTGAATGTAAACACTAAATTTACTTTAAACCTTATTAAATAAAAACAGCAGTCTGGACAATGTCCCTTCCCTAACCTTAATTCTCAGCCGTCACTGAAGACTGAGGCAAAGGGCTGGACAGCATCTGCTCAACCACTAAATCCAGTCTCCTGCAGTCACAAACATTATAATCCTTGTCATAAACATTTCAATCTCCTGCTTGAGCATTGTTAGGCTTTTTCCTGCCTTTTTGCAGAAAAGCTGTGTCAGTGCCTGCTGGGAGTGGCTAGATAGTCTCATGATTTAAAACACCACCCTTTACCACTATATCTCCATGTCTCATCAAATCTTCTTCCCTGTCCACTTGGGTTTTGTTCCCTCCAGAGACATTTTGATCCCACAGTGCCTGCTACCGGTTCCAGTGTTGTACAGAATATTACATAGGAGGCTCTCATATGTTTACTCAAGGCTCACATCTGCAGACAGAGCCTGAATCTTCTGGCTCTGGGGGCCAGATGCACCAAAAGTTTCTTGTTTGCTTTCTACATCTCTGTTAAAGCAAAGCTGCAGTGTGTCCAACATGCAGCACCAGCCACAGCTGGCTGCTCTGTATCACGAGAGCAGCACAAAAGAGGTAAGGTGTCAGTGAAACCCTTGTCCTATGCAAGCGGTAGACCCGTGTGGCACATACCTACCTCACACCAGCTGTGTAGGAAGCTGCTCTTCCAGGTGTGCTCTAGTGTCTTATCATAACGTTTATTGTGACTACTCATGATGGATGTAGTGCTAGGCCATTTTTGGTGGAAGGAGGCACTTTACACTAGCCTATGAACCTACAAAGAGCTGATTTATGTGTTCTTCTTTTGGAGGGATGGTGCAGTTGTAGGGGGAAGGTTTCAGCCCCTGCTGCCCTGTCCGTGTGCTCATGGCATGGAAACCTGCCTGTCCTTCCTGACCCCCTTCCAGCCTCTTTCCCCCCTCATCCACCAATCCTGCTGAGCGGTGGGTCTGTGGGGCTCTGTCATGTCGGCTCATCCCCTCCCCTTCCCGGGGCAGCATGTGCCTCTCCCTCCCAGACACTGGGTCAGGCACGCTGGTTCCCCTCCCATGGGCAGCAGCGGCATGTTCTGCGTGTACCCGCTGCCCGTCCCACCCAGCGCTGAGGGGTACCTGGCCACTCTGCGTGTACCCTCTGCCCATCCCACCTAGCACTGAGGGAGCTCCAGGAGCAGACATCCCACCGTCCCTGTGGCCAGCTGCCGACGGGCGTCCCATGGCTGGCAGGCGTCCCACCATCACAGCCTGCCACTGGACGGCTGCAGGGCTGGGGGTCCCTAATCCTTTCTCCAGCCTCTCTGAAGGCGTGCTGGCATGGACAGCTAGGTCATTTTTTAAAAACAGCTGCTTCCCTAATTAGCTTGCTGAGTGATTATCTCACTTTGTGGCTGCGAGTGCCAGCTATTTAAATCCAGCAGAAGGGAGACACCTTGGATTAAGTCATAAAATCATTTTGCTCGAAGTGACAGGTATTGTGATATGATTAGTCATATAGTCTAAATGAATAAAGCTATTACATATTCATTGCCCCATTACAGTTTATTATGTCGTTTTTTGATATGTCAGCAGAAGAGGTATATAAAATCTCTAAGGAGACTTATTCTTGGGAGGGAAAGCTTTTTTCTTGTCTGTATTGAAAATGAACATCGAACGGTATTGCATCTCTTGCAGTTGTGATTCTTCTGTGCCTGTTGGTAACAGTTCATCGCAATTCTGCCTAAGCAAAGTGTAATCAGAGCACAATCAACTTCTATAATACAAAATTTGTTCATGTATTTCTGTGGTGAAGAACAGTTCAGTTACACTGATTTGAGATTTCCTGGCAAATTCATCAGCTGAAGGATTCTGACTAATGAAAATCTCCGTTGCCTGGACCTAGCAGGGATTTGGCAATTTCTTTTTTATTTGTCATGTCTGAGAAAGAAATATATCCTGACTGCATTATTTTATTGACATTCTTAATACAGCTATCATAGCATCATCTATGTTTAAATCACAGGTCAGTAACTTGTGAGACCTGGCGCTCTTTCTGGCACCACTAAAGGCTTCTTGTATATATAAAGGATTAGGAACTAATTTTCCAATTTAGCCAAGAAAAACCTACTCATAACTTCATCGCTGTTTTTTCCAGATAGTCAGGCAGGCATCTTGAACAATCGTGTGTCCCTGACAAGCTTTTATGTACGTAACAGGACACCTGAATGCACAGTTGCCCTGATTGCGTAGGTAAACAGTTCCTGCATTACGCATTAGCTACAAAACTGCGTGCTTTTCCCCACTTAAATAGGTGCATTTTGAGCATGAGTTTCTTGGGCTGCTCTCTGCTACTTCAGATGTGGATCACGGCACTGAAGTTTCTCATGGGAATGTTTTGAAGCCAGCAGTAATACACACATATTAAGTGCATTGAAAGGGATGCTCAGGAGGTGCTGCCATGTTGCAAATGCCTCTTTGGAAGCCACGGGAAGTCAGGCATCTGTACAGGTGTTTTCATCATGCTTTGAAGCATTATGGAAAAGGTGTGGGCTGGAAAACATTTTTCTCCTTCTCTGAAGTAGTTACAACAAGCGCTGGGCTAAGCCAGTGCAGCTCGGTGCTGTGTTGCAGCTGTTTCAGGAGCCGGCGTGAGGAGTTGCTGCCCTGTGTCGCTGCTCTGTGGTCAGCCTTGCACCACCAAAACGGGTGGAGAAGGTGCGAGTGGGTGAAGGAGGTGCGGATGGGTGCAGGTGTCCCATGAGAGCATTGGCAACTCGGGGGATTACAGCAGCGCTCAGGCTGCCGTGCTCCGCTCAGGTGGCCAGAAGCAGAGGAGCACAGGGGAGGCTTTTCACCTCCCCTCTCCTCTTTCTCCAGCCATGCTAAACACTCACAAGCTGCACTCAAGAAGTCAAGGCCAGCAGCTGAAACCACTGGCAAATATTTCTGCCGGCAAGAGGATTGTGCTAGGAATGAGCAAAAGACATGGCCTTGCTAAATTTCACCATTTTACGTGGTTTCTTTTTGCCACAGTGTGTGTGTGCCTTTGAAAAGAAAGCTGCGAGTCCTTTGTGAGCGTTGTGTAGTCTTAAATTACAGGCAGAACTGGCTGCAGAAAGAAGGAGCGGAGCCAGTTTCTGGTGTCAGCCATGGGACTCAGCAGGGATGGGGGCACGTCCACCATGCAGGGGTGGGAACATGTCCTGCAGAGGGTCTGACCACGTGTCTGCACCAGGTCTGGCACAGAGACGAGGTAAAGCTCGTGCCATGGGGATGAAGCCCAGAATATTTCAATACCTGTGGCTTCGACATTGCCCTTTACCTAGAGGACTCACCCGTGATTTAAAGGAGGTGAACAAGAAGATGCCCTGGCACCTCCTTAGGAGATAACTGGCCTTCTTCACTGAAAAACTGTGCATTCACATGACTGCCACCCTTCTGCTGAAGAAGTGGATGTAATTTGCACATTTTCAGTCTTTTCATATGGATCAGTTTGCTTTTAAGGCGAAGTAGGTCACTTTGTATGAAAAAAGGCATTCTTTCTGATGATAAAAGAGATTCACCTTTGCCAAAGGGCTGGTTCAACTGTGTCCCCTGTAGTTTGTCAGTGTGAATAGTTTCGTATGTGCTTAGCTGGTGCTTAGGCCAGAGAGGGCCTTCCAGGAGCGACCTCCAGGGTCTGCTCTGTGGCCAAGTCCTTGAGGAACAGCTACATCTCACGGTACAGGAAAATGCACATGGTAAAAATTGAGTGGCAGACTAAAAATAGCAAAGCTTCTGCAACAGGATCGTGTTGAATTTTCCTGCTGCCTTGTAGGCTGTGAAACATAAGCATCTTGCATGGCATTAAACCACGTTACACTCTTAAGTTGCAAGGGCTACTATCACTTCTTGTGGACAGAAGTGAAGAAAGAGGAGTGAAGTTTTTAGTATGGATGGTGTCCACACTTGGTGCATAAACTGCGCCGGGTGGCAAGAGCTTCCAGGGGTGTCAGGCTGCCTTTGCTGTGATCCACACTGTCTCAGCCCAGCATGGGCTGTACCAGCGGAGCAGCGCTGGCAGGTTCCTGTGCAGGATGGGGAGAGCTTTGCCATCAGGAGCAACCTGATGTTTTTAATGGGGCAGGCTGACTTTCACAAGGAGTGTCAGTCTTGCCACTCGGCTGGGACGTCGCCATGGGAGATAATCCTGCGCTCGGTGGCACCTGTCCCCGCGAGTTAAGGGCTCGCCCTGTTACCTGGGTCATGTGTGGAGCTTTTGGAGATGTTTGCTTTTGGAGGAGAGGCTAAATCACGATCCAAATGCTATGTGGATATTACAGAGGCGTGGTTATTTTTTTCTTAATTTCATTACAAGAGTGAAATTGAGCAGGCAGACAAGAAAGGAAAACCTAAACTCAGGCACTTTAAAAATGCTGTGCTGGAACTTTTTACAGTAATCTTCCATTCTAATTGGTATCTTCTGGACTGTATACAAATAAAAAAAGGAAAGAAGAAAACATTAATCTGGGGAAAAAATGTCAGGATAGGCATCAACTAAAATCATTGTATTTGGAAATGAAATGAAAATGTGCTTACACATTCTTCTCTATGAGTGAGAATTATTTTGCTGCTATCGAGCAAAGGATGGAGTTCTAGTGGTGAATCATGTGCTTAAAGTTAAGCATGTGATTTAAATACTTTGGGAAATCAAAAAAGCAACCTGTGAAACTTGCTCATATTACTCAGATGTTTTGATCTTAATGCTGCTAGAGCTTTTACAGAAAGGTCAAAAGCTTAGCTTCTGATTTCTTGTAAATCTGATCTAGTTTTAGTTTGCAGTTCACACCACTGCTTTTGTAGGAGTTAATCTGGTTTAAAACTGTTCCTGAGATCAGAATTTAATTTCCTTGCAACTTTTTCTTTTAGTCTGTTACTATTGTTCATTTCATATAAAGTCAGTGTAGTTGTGTGTGGTTTTTTGGAAGGGGGATGATAAAAATAAAGTATCCAAAAATATGCATGTGAGCAATTGCAAAAAGGAGAAATTTGTCTGTAAGTGCCAGCTTGTACCCTGGCTGAGTATCCAACTCCATTTAATGCAAAGGACACCTGAACTCAGTGGAATTCTGCTACTTTGATCCCCACCCTGTTTTAGTATTATTTATATTTTAGCCATTGCAGTGGAATCAATGTTTTAGTCTTATTTTCCCTCTCTTTTTGTTTCAGGTATTATTTTAAAGTCCAAGCAAAGAATCCCTTTGGTTATGGACCTGTTAGCTCTTCAGTCTCATTTATCACAGAATCTGGTACGCTTTGCTTTTTATTTTCATCTCAAAGCTGAATTTATAATAACAGATGTGGCAGGGCAATGACTGAAACCAACATGGTAATGTGGTCATTATCCTGAACTTGCCGCTTTTGAGATTTTTTTTTTTAGGTTAATTGTTTGTTTTTGGTAAAGCTAGGAAAATAATATGCACTCCTAATGCCACTATGAAAATACAAGTGACATTAAAGTGAGCTTCAGGGGAGCAGGAAGTTGAATTTAAAATACAAAAGACTACTAATGTTCAACAATACAGAAGCAATGGGAAGCTTGATGTCTTTGATAGATTGACCAAACATTTAGTAAATTAGCTTCCTAATTGTGAACAGCTGAACAGTTGGAAGTGGTTGTCTCTGGAAGAAATATAGCAAACAATTTTTCTATCAGATGGGCAAAGTTCTCCGTTTTTTTTTTTTAGAAGGCATGCTGCCCTTTCACAGGGCTAATAGTGTGTTCAAGGGCAACACCCCCTTCTAAAAATAGTATGCAAATCAAGCTATTTTTACCTGTTTCTTCTTATTATTATCTTCCATTGAGCCAGAGGCCAATGACTTCACTGAATAATAAAGGCAAAATTATTCAGTCTTTACTTGAGTAAAAGGTCTGTTGCCCCTTGCAAATTTTGCCCTTGTGACAACATGGGGGTTACACAGTCTCTGCCTTTGCTCATTTGACTTCAACTTGTAGAGCTCACTTCAGAAGCTCCATTAAGAACCATGGCAATAAGTCTTCACAGAACGGAGGCAAATATGCAAGATAAGTGAATGGTCCTGCATAACATGCTCATATTTTTTTTAAAGGGGCAAGCAGCTGAAGTATAAGTCCAGGCGTAATGTTCAACGTTGGACAAACAGGGCATACTGTATCTTGCAGGGAGTTCTCCTGATTAGCTGGCTGCGAGTATACAGGCCTGAATGCCTAGTTTTCCTATCCAAAGTCAGCTACCTTGTGAGCTTTATTTCACAGGTTATATCTACCAAATTTAAAGATTTGCAGCATTGATCTTTCATTTGTCATGTTGCCAGAGGTGGCTTTCCAGCTGGCACAAGAACAAAAGCAGTTGCTAAATCTAAAGCCAGATCGTATAGTTACAGTGATGGGGTAGGTCTGAAGAGACAGAAATTGTTTGTTCAGAGTGATCTTCTAGTGCAATTGAAAGATTTGAGCTGATGAGAATATTCAATAGAGAATTCCATCATAGGATCAAGCAGCTTATTGAAAATGTTCGATCTTACCCCTGGAAACCCACTGAAGAAAACAGAAAACCGTTGTTCTCTCTCATCAAACTGTTAAACCTCCCTGGCATTTTTCTTCCCCATCAGTAGACAAGCACTGTGTTTTTTCTTCAGGTATTTCATGCACCATAAGGGCTAGTTAAGAGATGAGAGCAACTGCAATGTAATGAATGCAAACAAGCTAATGCATTAGATCATATTGTTTTGTTATCCTTACTCCACACCTATTCCATTCTTCCTTCTTTAAAAGAGAGTATTTCAAGTGAGCAGAAGCTCCTGAGGTAGTGGACCATGCACCCTGCACTGCCCAGGCGGCTTCTGCAAAAATTCTGTCACTACGACAGAAAGAGTTGAAATGATAGATTTCAGATATTCATGAATACCACTAAACAACTGCACTATAACGTGACGGATGTCTGAGACCAAGATTTGCATACAAGAGGTAGGTTACGTTTCCCTTGGGAAGTTATGCCTGCAGGTGTAACTTGTGCTATGTATTCAGAAGCCTATATTGAAACTGTCCTCCTGCTCTGAGGACCTTCTGAGAGGAGGAAATCTGTTTCAAAGCTGGCTTTGAACTTCGATGCTATTCTCAAGAGAATTTTTTACAGTATCAGAACAAATATACAGTCCTGTGGTGAATTTCATCAATGGAGAAAAACAGTGGAATGACAAACACTCATTAGCTCTGCAAATCGATAAGACAAGTGACTCCTGCATTTATAATGTTGCTAAAGGTAGTTCCTCTGCAACTGACATTTTCTTGAGTGACACTGTAACTTTCATATTATAAAACGAGGTTTGGAACAAAATACTGATTTTTTTTTTTTATTTGTTTCATTCTTCTAGACAATCCTCTCCTCATTGTCAGACCACCTGGTAAGTTTTATTTAGCTATTTCTTTCACGAAGTGCATAAAACCTGTGCAAAACAGTTACAATATAGGTGTTCAAAGCATATTAACAGGCAGTTTGAGTTACAGTTTTAAGTGAGAACAGGTAGTAATTCATTGATTCATTGTGCTAATGCAAAAAAATGTTTTCTGTCTTAGGATCCCTTATTCTGGTCTTTGAAAAAAAACCTTGTAAAGAGGTGTTAGATTAAGCACTTGATTTTGGCCCATCTTTTGCCTGGTACAACAGCTTTGATTGCTTAGTAATAAGCACTAAACTGTATTGCCTCTGCATCTGTGGCCCCTAGTTACCTGAGCATAGCTTGGACAGTGGGATCAGTTTTTTGCTGTCTGTAATTGTTAGGCTCATCTATACTGATCATCACACACCTATAAATTATAAAAAAATTCCAGGATTTGTGACTGGCCTGAATGACAGGGATATGCCACCAAGCTGTTGAGCTCGCTTTGCATTTCCAAGCCTACTGACTTTGCAATAAGCCAGAAAGAGCTGGTTTCCTGGTGCTGGGACCAACCTTGCTGGCATGGACGTTGGTAGGGTAACCCCAGGCAGCGTGTGCTCTGGGGAAAGAAGCAGGAAAAAAGACCTCATGGTTATTACGCTCTGTCAGCTTTTGTAGGCAGTTCAAGTGGTTGGTTCTGGGACTTTTTTACTACATTGTTCGTGAAAAAAATGTCCAGTGTCTCCCTCCTTTCTATGTTTTATTATGCTTGTTAGTCTGTTTTTTCCGTGTCCTCTCAGATGTCTCTGATGATGCACAGATATTGCAGAGCACGCTACGTCTCTGGCAGTCAGCGTGGGAGGCCTCTGAGAGCCGTGGCCTTCCCATGTCCCTGGTCACCTTCAGGTTTTTTGCTGTCAGTTGTTTTGTGGGTCTGTTCATGGAAAGGAGGTTTTGGAAGGTGATGGCTTTTGCACTTGTATTTTCTGCTTTAGCTGGACAAAGAGAAAATATTTTTGAGTAGCTGCAGTGGTAGAGATAAGATAGACCAAAAAGAGGTGGCAGAGCTCTGGTAATCTGTGGAAATTAAGAGTTTCTGAACATCCAGTGCAGCTCTTACAGGACATGCTAGTTTTATCCTTCAGGGTTTTTGGAGGTGGGTAAAAGTGATGGACAAAAGCAGGCTATTCACAGCAGTAAGAAGTCAGTCCAGTCACATTTGTGTCCATACCAGTGGAGTTTTGAGAACTACTGATCAGTGATTGCTTCTCACATACAAGTATTTGCAGGATTTGATCCATGTGCCTAGTGAGATGGAGGAAGAATGGCTAACAGAAAAAACTTTCAATCTATCTCGTTTGTAAACCACCTCAAAATAACACAGCAAAAACAGGGCTTTGTACTGTAGCTAGAGAGAAAAACGCTAGTTATCACACTGGAAACTTTTTGTGTAGTTTTATATACATTACTACAACAGCAATTTCAAAAGAAATTATCTTGTCTTGGTTAATAAAAAGCAAACATTCAGGCAAGGCAGTAGGAATATGTAGTCTTTTGTGATACAATTAAGGAGTCTTCTCTGCAGCGGTGCTCTGGACAGAGCTCCCCAGGAAAGGTCTCTCTTGTCGGTTATTGGAACCTCATCTGTTCCGATGTAATGTGGGCAAACAAAACCGAAAAGTACGTTTCTGATTTGATCTTTTTAACCAAATAGCAAGAACAGACTTCAGTTTACAACACAGGCTGTCACCGCAGATTTTTTAACATCTGCTTTTTAACAGAAGGGTTAAGTTTCATACTTAGTGTTAAAGTGCAAGTGACCGTATTTAGACAATGTCACTTTCAGACCTAAGATCAGGCTCTGTTTAGAAAAGAAACTGAGTATCACTAGGTAGAGAAGATGTCTTACTAAAAAACAGTGAGACTTTTTGTTTACTTAAAACTGTGGTTCAGTACATGAGATCATATTTTTTTGATCATTTTAACAGTTATTGTCTAGTGCCTAGAAGGGATTTAATAATTCTCTTTAATATTTTTTATAATATTTGTTATTGAATTAGTATTAGTGGATATAGAAAAGTTATGCATTAATCTGCTGCGGCATGTCTTGTAAAATGTGTTATGAGATGTTAACCTCAGCAAAACTCAGGCTGAAATGCCTTAATGTTGTCCTTAATGTTGAATTTTTTTTTTCTCCAAGGTGGCGAGCCTATCTGGATCCCCTTCACTTTTAAGTACGACCCCACCTATTCAGACTGCAGTGGCAAGCAGTACGTGAAACGAACTTGGTACCGCAAGTTTGTAGGAGTGGTTCTTTGCAACTCCTTAAGGTACAAGATTTACCTCAGCGATGACCTGAAAGGTAGGCACCAAGATTAATTTCCTGATATATGGTTACTTGTCATCTCCATCTTCTCACTTTCTTCACCTTGACTGCGAAGGAGTTGTGTGATGGCTATCCAGGAGTCCTTCTCTCGAGAAGGTCCGACATGGTAGCTGAGCTGCCCTGCCTTTGCGTTACGCTCATGCCCTGGCATTAGCTTTCAAGCAGAACTCTTTAGACAGAGGACAGGAGGAAGTTTCCCTTGAAAAGCCTGTGTGGTTTTGTGTCCTGAGAAAGCAATGTGCTTTGTACTGGGAGAACAAAGTTCTGCTCCCCACACATCTCCGTGGGAAGTCCCACGCTTGCTCCATGGGCAGGTGAGCCCCAGCTGCACACAGTCAGAGCGAGCAGCGCACTCGAGAGATCCCCAGGGCAGATCGGAGTGGGGAATGCTGGCAGAAAGGCTGGTATTGCAGTGAGTGGGTGAGCAGTGCTCCTAAGGGTTAACAGTAGCTCTTACACGAGTGTATTTGCTGAGAGATAATGAAGAAAACTCTCCATATTGTTGATCTGGGTTACTGGGATTATCTCAATGGCTTTTCAGGTTAAGGTGATGTGTTATTTTTGTTGCAATGCATTTGTATAGTTTAAAGGCACTGTTTGAATATACAATAAGAAACAATCAGGGCAGCAGGACCCACCTCATCTACTAAAGAAACAGCTTCACGGTTTGTAGTTTTCATCTGAGGCTGCAGTCAAACTCATGGTATTGACAAAAGGAGTGTTTTTTACTTTCTTACGACATACTGAAATGACTGGTTCCCTTTAAATTCCCTCCACCTGTTACCTGTGGTGCAGAGTCCATGGACTTGCAAAATGGGAAATATTCCTTACTAAGCTATAACCCATTGCTCTTTTCCATAATTTCTCCTTCCATACTGCAAAGGTAGTGTTCTCACTCTTTTCAGCCACTGTTTGCTCGTTGGTAATACTGTGTTTGTCACTGTAGCACTTCTCCTGCTTGCTCCCACATCTGTTTTCCTGGTGGTAAAAAGCATCCCAAACAAAAAAAATGCTGAGTCAAATAATCTGTCTGTATCACCCTTCAGACACCTTCTACAGCATTGGCGATAGCTGGGGAAGGGGCGAGGACCACTGCCAGTTTGTGGATTCACACCTGGATGGAAGAACAGGACCTCAGTCGTACGTGGAAGCCCTGCCCACCATCCGAGGTACGGCACCACGGGAATTGGGTGGTGGGCAGGTGCCTGTCGTCCGGTCCGTAGGGTTAAGGGGTAGGGAGCAGGGCGCAGCACGGAGCTCTTTGTCCACAGCTGCTGGCAGCTCTCTGAGTCATCCTGCTGATGCAGTAGGTGGGGAAAGTCCCAGAAGGACTTGTGGGTGTTGAGAGAGAGAGAAAGAGACAGAAAGAAAGAGAGGGTCATATAATGCAAAGAATTTACAGAAACAAAATGCAAAAACAGAAAGAAAAAATCTATGAAACCTTTCTCCCAGTTAGAAGATCCGCCTTACTGAATAGAGGTGCAAACTCATCCACGTGCCGCAAAGGACCAGCTGCATCTTTGCAGATATGGCTTTTGCAGGTGATTTCCAACCAGTTCATTCAATGCAAAACACACAGCAGTGTGACGAGTGACTGAAGGCTGGGCTGCAGGACTTTTGTTCTGGCCTGGTACATACCTCCCTTCGAGTGAAAATTCTCACCTTGAAGGAGTTCCTCTGAGTAAACTGCCCAGCTCCCATAGCCAAGAGGGTGACGACTTGCTTCACATAATGAACCCAATTATGAAAGTGAGCCAATCTTTTCAATAAGTCGATTGATTTAAATTATTCAGTTGGCTTTAATGGTTTCCATGTGAAGTTGTTTGTTGATATTCTTTTCATGGTGGTGTTACCAGGAAGAAACTGAAATAGTCACTGATATTTATGTATCACCGGGAAGTACTTTATTTCTCAGTTCAAAAGAGGGATGATTAATCCAGATGTGTATTACTAGGTCTAGGAAACAGAGATAGAGAGCACGCAGAAATTATATTACTGGCACAAGACATGAGTGTTTCAGATGTTCCAGTGCACGAGCTATGCAGAGAAGAATGCTGCACCTCTCCTAATGCTTTAAGCAGTCACATTCTTTCTGCAGATGAAGAAGAAGGGGGAGAAAGAGCTTAACTCCATATTTACTGCATGAAATTATACCTTTTTTTTTTTGTGAAAAGCTGATGTTTGTTGATAGTCTCTTGAGCCCTATGAGATAATACGATTTGATGGTATTTTTTGCCCCAGAGTCTTTCTTATATTTAAACTGACTTGCAAACTTCATAAACACGGCTGAAATATAGCCACGTTTTGGAGTGAAATGCAGAAGCGCTTTGCCAGACCACAGCATTACACAATAGTTCAAGAGATTTTGGACAGTAAAATTTATCAAAACTACAAGAAATATAAAGGACCAGAGTTCAACCATTCAAGAAAGATGAAAGCAAATACCAGGGCTAGCAAATACCCTTTTGACGCAACTCCCTACCAGACAGCTTCTAAGTTTTCATTTGGGCTGTGGGATTGACTCTCACTGTCTCTGTTACTTTTGTTAAAGTACTGTGTCTTGGTTTTGAAATGCGAATGGGCATTTTTCCCCCGACAGGGTATTACCGCCAGTACCGCCAGGAGCCTGTGTCTTTTGGACGCATTGGATACACAACACCCTATTACTACGTGGGCTGGTATGAGTGCGGCGTCCCTATCCCAGGGAAATGGTAGCCATCTGCTTTCCTGTCTTAGGCAGACCATGCTTTTCAAATGATTTCTACGAGAGGACTGTGAGCGACTGATTTGGAAAAGGGAAAATAAAAAGAGAAATGCAGCAAACCAGTGAAGACCAGCTACTCAAGAAACCCCCGTGAAGCCAAGCACGGTCCCCACTTTACCAGCCTAAATCTGTGGTGCTGCTCGATTTCTGCTTGGAAGCAGGGACAGGACACGAGTTTGGTGTCCTACCTTTCTCCTCTGGGTCTTTAAGGCATGGAGAGGCGGTTGCGATGTGCGCAACCTGTGAAGACTAGAACTATATTAGCCATGAAAATTTGGAAGTTTCTTATATCTTGCAGGAACAACCTAAGCATGCTGTGCTTGCTTAATGGGATGCTATCTGTCCTTTGCTGCCTGCCTGCCGGGGCTCCCCTATGCAATCGTGCCACGTAACCGGCCGCCCACAAAAGGCGATATATTCTCCTGAAGACTTACCCTGTGGGTTTGCCCACTGCTGGACTAAATACCAGGTCACAGTGTAAATTCACTTTGAGATATTTGTACCTATATCTATATAAATACAGTACTGTACATCTGCAAAAGTACTGCTTAGAGATGCCGAGTTTTTCTTGTTCACTAGATAAATATGTTTGGAATTTGTATGTAAAAGGTGCTATTAATTCTTTGAGATATTGCTATGCACAATATATTAACCAAGGAAAGAGCTGTGTTCTTCTTGTGAGTGATCTAACATTTGAATTATTGATCAAAGACTTGTGTCCCACTTCCTTGGCAGCCTTTGGACTGGATGTTCAGTGGGAATCTACCGCTCTGTCCATGTTAGAGTGGCACTGTATAGTCCAACAAAAACACATATTCAGCAGGTTATCTTCATGAGTTAAAGTTTCTGTCCTTTACTGTTTAAAACTTTCAGTGCCACTTTTCTTCAATCTGTTTTCATCTTACTTGACATGTTATTTATTCCTTGTGAGTATCCTTCATTTCACTGTGCAGAGGCATGGGTTGAGTAACTTGCAAATTAGAAACTGCTTTTAACTTACTTGCCCTCCAAAAAAAGAAGCCCAAGCCACCAGTACAAGAGTCAACTTGCAGGAAACTCCTTTGACTTTGATTTGTCCTGGGGACAAATTGGGATGCAGTTCAGTTAAAATACTGCCAAAATCTCTTCCATTCAGATCAGAAAGCAAAAGCTGACATGGATGAAAGGTATCATGATGATTTTTTTAGCAGGCATTTGGAAGCTTGCAGTAACGTAGGATTTTAGTAGTCCTTCTGGGCAATCTAACTGTAATGGTTTTACTGAGTAACTTTCGCAGTCTTACCGTTTCATGGTAACGTCTCACCAGCCTTTGCTCTTCTTAATAAGACTCTGCCATTCTCTGACAGCCTGGGAGAGTAGCAGCGTTCCTGGGGGACAGATCCAGTCTGGTCCATCTCTCGCTCTCATTCCAGCTTACATGTAGTGTAGGTCTAAGGCCTTTTCAGTTCCTTCCTCTAGTTATTGTAAATTGTATGGGGACAAAAAAAAAAGGAACTGAAGTGAGATTAAAAAAGCATTTTATTTTTCTCGGTGATTTGGGTTTTAACATTTTAATTGTTCTCACATACTTTTGCTTCAGTACAGTGCCAAATATATGGTCTTGAAGTATAACTTTTTTCCCTAATAAACCTATGGTACATGGTTCCATTTCTACTTCATCCTTTCTGGTCATCTGTGTCCAGTAATCTGACAAAGTGACAAATTGTTAGCTTTGAAAAAGTCTTCCTTGGGCGAAGAGTAGGTGTCAACTTTTTCTAAGGGACTGGAAGCATGTGTGTTGTTCCCTTACGAAGGTGGTTAGCAGCTAGTGTGGAGTTACCAAGGTCAAATCATGCCTGACCACCTGGTCATAGTCTTTATTGAGATGACTGGCTCTGTGCACAAGGAGACAAATGTGGATGTCATTGGCTTTTGTAAGACCCTTGGTATGGTCTCCCACAGTGTGCTTGTAGCCAAGCTGGTGGGATATGGCTTGGATAGTTGTACTTTAAAGTGGACATGAAGTTACATTAAGCTGAGACACGAGGCTCAAAGCATTGTGATCAAAAATAGTGCAAAGTCCAAACGACAGCTGGTTGCAGGTGCCACCCCCAGGGGCCAGTACTGGGGCTGAAACAGTCTGATGACCCGGGCGATGGGATGTGGCGCACGGATGGAGTGCACCATCAGCAAGCTTGTGGCTGATACTAAACTGGGGCTGGGGAGTGGTTAATGTGCTGGAGGGCAGAGCTGCCACCCAGAGGGACTTTGATGGACTGGAGAAATGAGCTGTCAGGACCCTCACGCAGTTCAGCAAAGGGGAGTGAGAAGTCCCGCACATGGGATGGAATAGCCTCTTGCAACAATACAGGCTGGGGTGACTTTCCAGAAACCAGCTTTGCAGAAGGGGTCTTGAGGGTCCTTGTGGACAACAGATTGAATGTGAGAACTCCAGAGATCCATTCCAATCTAAATTATTCAGTAACTTTTTATGATTCCAGGGGAGGTATCCAATAATAAAATGTATTTTTTTGTTTTATTTAATTGAAGTCATGACTTGGCCCAGACCCCAGTCTTCAGCACATGTGAGTGGGATTTGTGCTACTGACTCTAAAGAGCAGTGCCTCGTCTCAGCAGTCATGGTTTGGCCTAGTGTTTAAGGATCAATGTTCCCTCCTGACAGCCACCGCATTCTGCATTTTCATCTGCAAAGAACTTTGGATTTGTTCACCTGCAGATGATTCAGATTGTTCCTTCATTCCCTACTGGAAATACCATTGGGGTGGGACAGTCCCGTTCAGGGATGTCATCACGGGTGAGGAGCTGAGGCTGTCAGTTTTTCTGCAGCCTCAGCTGGGGAGGATCTGGGAGGTGCTGGGAGCAGGGGTGGAGGGCAGT